AGTCTACAATTATTTGAAGTGTGTATACATTTTTTGGGACACCCTGTATTTTGCATCCGGTTTCAGGCTACCAGTTAAATGGGAATTTCTTCTTTTAACTTTGATTATTTACTTGTATTTGCACCCCTATTTTTTACAACAATTCGCTGTCCATACCACCTGTACCTCGTCTTCCGGTTTTCTCACAATCTTATCGATACATTTTTGCATTGCTATCCAGACCTGCTCAGCCGCAGGTAGGTGGCGAGATCTTCTCAGCCTGATGCGACACCCAGCCAAAGCGGCTATCAGTCGACTCTCTGCTTCCAAGGACACCGCTGAAACCGATGACGACACTGGCAAAAAGACTCGTCCTAGCGTGGCTGAATGGGATGCCCTTCTTGTTGAACTCGATTCGCTGCAGGTCCGTCTTGAATCAGCAGAGCGTGCAGGTCAACCCTCCCTCGCTTTCGCCTTTATCGAAGGTGCCCTGGTGCGAGCTCTGAAAGAGGGTGACTGGGTCCTACTGGATGAAATCAACCTGGCGCCTGCGGAACTTCTGGATTGCCTGAGTGGTCTGCTAGATTCTTCTTCGGGTAGTGTCACTCTCGTGGACCGTGGGTAAGTTAGGATTAATCAGCTTTGACCACTTCCCTCACTTTCAACTAGCAGTAATCGTAGAGATTTTATGAATAACCTCTGATACATAATGCTTATGTAAAGCAAATGGGTAAAGTTTATTCATACAGGAAGAAAAACAATTACCAGGCAGAGTTGTCTTTAGAGGTCCTTTTTGTTTTTGACTTATAACAATAATCTACTTTTGCATTTCCAGTAACCTGACTTTCCTTTTTTCGTTAAATTCCGCCAATATAAGGTTGAATTTCCCTCTATAGGCATCAGTTGCCTGAGCAACGGGAGTTTATTTTGATGGAGTTGATTCTATTCAGTACATTGGAAAAGATATCTTTCTGTAATCTAATATTTTTTGATCACTTCCAACACAATTAAATATTCATTTACACTGGCTAACCAAGAATTAAATGTTTAATCACAGATTATATAAGACACTTGGGCGGGGGGAATAGATATTTAGGCGGCCCTACAAGGCAGTTTTGCCATTGGACCATGTTGGATCTAAATTCCCTAATCTATTCAAGGGGACTTCGGATCAACTGACCTCCCTTCAATCCATCCTCCCAGTCCTCATAGATTCGTTATATAAAGCTTAAGAAAACGTGTAGGTGGAGATAGCCTATCGTTTTTGGGAAGAGAAAACATATTGCACTTCTTGTCGGCATCCTTCAGTTGGACGTACCAGCGGTTTGAATCACGCATACCTAATCATTAATTTTTGTGTCGTATTAATCCGTTGTAAGGTATGCGTATTATTTATAAAACTGATGTCCCCATCTTATCAATACTTCATCTCAGTAGGTTTGACAGAGTTTTAAAAAGTTTTTATTTTTATTTATTTCAGACAGTTGTATGCTATTAATCTGCCTTTCTCACACTTGCTGTTGTTTTTTTCCACTAATCAGTGACCTGGAACCCGTTAAACGTCATCCTTCCTTCCACCTTTTCGCCGCCATGAATCCCTCCACCGATGTTGGAAAACGCAGCCTCCCCATCGGTCTGCGCAACCGCTTCACTGAGATCTACGTAGATGAACTCAATCCCACATCATCGGCCGTTGATAGGAATGATTTAGCTCTCCTGATTCGCACCTACCTTGTTGGTCTGGGCCCCTCAGCTGCTCAAGTGTCCGCGGTTGTCCAACTCTACACAGCAATTCGACAGGCAGCATTTCAGGGTCTCGTTGATGGGGTCGGCCAGCGACCCTACTTCAGGTTTGTTATTTGATTTCGTAGTTACATCCATCTACCTGATAGACGTTTGACAGTATTATCAAAAAAAAAGGAAAATGAACTGACCGATCTGGCCTTCCTGCAAAATAGCAGATAAACTTTGTGTTCCACTGCAAACCTGTGCTCTAAGGCTCTCACAGGTGTTCGTGCAACGATTCAAACCGATAGTTGTACTCTTACCACACTCTACTCCTATCCGCAAGCTGTAACTGAACCACATATTCAGGGCAGGTAGTAGACAATTTTACCTAGGAGATTATGAAAGTCACTTTTTTCTATTCATCTACTATCCAGGTGAGAAGCACTCCTTAGCATTCCTAGTTTTCTTATCACTGTTTAGCAGTGTTGTGCCTCACCTTTTTACACACATCTCGGTCTCGTCTCCACGCATCCCTCCGTCCTCTGGATCTTCGTAAAGATGGAATATGTTTAAACTGTCACCAGCCCTTCGTTAAAATATTGACGGCGTTTTGGCCAAGGTGACTGGATCCCTTTAAGCACAGTTCTGCACGATGTTCTTGCACATTTAACCGTCACATTTACTCTGTCGCCCACGAGATAAAAGGGTCTCTTCGTCCTTATTAGATTTTAATATCTGAAAAAAGCTTGAACCTACGGTACTGTTTTGGAGGTCTTATTAACTACTGCTTTATTTTTGTGGTATTTCCATATTACTCGTTCAGCTTGCGGACGCTCTGTCGGGCTCTGACTGAGGCATCGCGTGGCTACCACGGCAGTCTTCTGCGCTCTCTCTACGAGGTAAGCGGTGGTAAACATTTGGTTACTCGTCCCACTAATAAATCTGATCGTGTGCTCCTCTTCCTCCTCCTCCTCCTCCTCCTCCTCCTCCTCCTCCTC